GAAAGGCGCAAAGCTACACAGAGAAACCCTGTCTCGAAAAACCAATAAATAAATAAATAAATAAATAAAAATAAAAATAAAAAAAAAGAGAGAGTTTGAGTCCCTGGAGACATGGCAAATGGAAGTGATGGACCATCCTGGGGTCATAGAGACGGCTAAGGGAGAGCAATCTTTTTCGTAGGTGAATAAACTAAACCCAGGGAGGGGATGAGACTGCTCAAAGGGATGCAGATGGGCATTTCCCCAAGGTGCCCTGGCTTGAGTTTAACATACACTGATAGGCCACATCACATTTCAGTAAGTAATGGCTTACATGTAGGATGGTGGTCCTATAGAATTGATTCATGTAATGACACCATAGCTGGTCTTAGTTTGTCTTAAGTTCGATCTGGGCATTTGACAATGACCACAAAACCTGGCGATACCTTTCTCAGAACAGAAGTATGTTGTTAAGCCGTACCTGACTGTTGATGTGAAAGAACCTCCCAGATGGTGATAGGCAAGGAATACTCCACTCTGCTTGTAAGTGTCCAACACTGAAAGGGGCAGTCAGAACCCACTGTAGAGTTTTCATTCTTCCTTAGAAAGGAAAGGGAAGGTGACTGTTGATTTCAGTGTAGGCAGGTGACTGTCTGCTGGTCAGCTATGTAGACTCGGACAAATTCCTTAACCTCCTGGAACCTCAGTTTCTTCACCATAAAGTAGAGGTGCCAGCACTTGCCTCATACGGCTGTTGAGAGACAAGTTAACACACACATGTCTGATCCGGAGGGGCTCCTCACTAAGTACAACCCCACCTTCTGCTTCCGTCATGGTAGTCCTTCACTCATGGGTTCTGTGACGTGAAATCATCCATGCCGGTACAAATGTTATCTCGGTCTAGCTGGAAAATAATATCTTATCATAAAGGAGAAGGGAAATTCAGGCATGGCATAAGCTGCGCCTTGCTTCAGTCTCTTGGGTTTGCAGGTGACTTGAGGGGGCCTGGCTACCCTTTCCACCCTCATTCGCCATTTCTAGCCGGGAAGACCCAGCTGCCCCTCCCTTCTTTGCCATGTCTTGACCTCATCTCCTTGATGTTCTGGTCTCTCCAGCTTCCCCCTGCTCAGAGGATGTGAGTGGACTGTGTTTGGGAGCCCCTGGAAGCATGGAGACTGTGGTGATCGTCGCCATAGGTGTGCTGGCCACCATCTTCCTGGCCTCGTTTGCCGCTTTGGTGGTGGTTTGTAGGCAGCGCTACTGCCGGCCTCGAGACCTGCTACAGCGCTATGATTCCAAGTGAGTAGACGGTGATGGGGAGGGAGGAGAGCTGAGCACTGACAGCAGGAAGTCACAGGGCCAGAAGCAATTTGGTGCGGAGCCACTTCAGCTCAACCTATTCTCTCTTAAATGGTTCCTGCAGGTCACACTTCCTACAAAGACTTCAGAACTCAGGAACATTCCTTAAGCTGGGCAGTGGTGGCACACACCTCTTTAAATTTTTTTTATTCATCTGTCTACTTTATATCCTTGCCATAGCCTCCCCTCCCATCCCCGCCCCCAACTCCCACTCCCACTCCCTTCCTCTTCTGTCCCCATCCAGGAAAGGGCAGGTCTCCCATGAGTATCAATAAAATGTGGCATATCAAGTTGCAGTAAGACAAAGCATCTCCCCATGTATTAAGGCTGGGCAAGGAGACCCAGCAAGAGAAGTAGGGTTCCAAAAGCCAGTAAAAGAGTCAGAGACAGCCACTGTTCCCCCTGTTAGGAGTCCCACAAGGGGACCAAGCTACACAACTGTAACATATGCAGTGCCTAGGTCAGTCCCATGCGGGCTCCCTGGTCATCCGTTCAGTCTCTGCAAGCCCCTATGAGCCCAGGTTAGTTGATTGTGTGAGCCTTCCCACGGTGTCCTTGACCCCTCTGGCTCCTACACTGCTTTCTCCTCCTCTGCAGGGTTCCCGAACTCTGCCTAATGTTAGGCTGTGGGTCTCTGCACCTGCCTCCATCAGTTGCTGGATGGCACCTCTCTGATGACAATTAGGCCAGGCACTTACCTGCTATTGCTAGGAGTCTAAGCTGGGGTCATCCCCGTAGACTCCTGGAAGATTGCCCTGGGTGGCACACACCTTTAATCCCAGCACCGGGGAGGCAGAGGCAGGTGGATCTCTGAGTTTTTGAGGTCAGCTTGGTTTACAGAGTGAGTTCCAGGACAGCCAGAGCTACACAGAGAAACCCTGTCTCAAAACCAAGCAAAACAAAAAAACATTCCTTAAGCACACCAGCATCCTGAGACACCACTTTTTCTGTTCATTCAGTCACAGAGAAATCACTGAACATGTTCGCCCTGACATGAAAGTCGCATCTTTGCAATGCTGGGCCACCTCATTTGGCAGGGGGATGAGCCAAATCCCTTTCCAGCCCCAACTCTGGAGACGGAAATCTGATGCCCACACTCAGGAACACACCTAAGCAACAGGTGTTCTGGATCACGCAGTCCCACGTAGGGGCGCCTGTCTCCTTCATCATGCATGGTCCTGTGCAATAGATTTTGTAAGCAAGGTCAGTTTAGGGATTTTTGAATGGAGAGATCCATAAAGGACATTAGCCACCAACCTTAAGCTGCTGATGTTTCTTGATCTTAACTCGGTCAGCATCTCCACTGAGTGGTTAACAACCTGTGACTACCCATTTAGATGGTCCTGAAGGCTCTGCTTTGCAAGGAGCGTCGCTATAGTTCTCCAGAACCCTGCTGTGAAGGAGGAGGGAGTTTTATTCAGAGGGGAGGGTGGTTCCCAAGAGTGATTCTGTATACCAGTTAAGGGACACAGATAGGCTTGGGTGACCACAGTGTCAGCCTTCCCATACTAACATAGGCTTGAAGGGAAAGACAGGAAGATCACTTGTCCTGTCTCGGACTTCTCTGTGACCGCGGTAGCCCTGCCCTTTCTCCAGCAGGTCAGCTCATCCTGTCTCACTTGCATTTTGGTCTGCTTTCTTGATCCACTGTTTAGCTGTGTGCCTTGTCTTGTGCTGTGGGCACATTACAGTTAGGTCTCTATCCAGGACAAGTGGCCTCTCGTCTAAACTGTCTATGCCTTTGTCACCATACCAAAATGCGTAAGATAACTCCGTGAAAAGAGAAAAGGTTTCTTCTGGTTCATGGATTTAGTGGTCTGATCCATGATCAGGTAGACTCACTGCATTTAGACATTGGATGGAGCTTCTGGATAGGAGTTTGCGGAATGCAGAAAAAGAAGAAAAGGAGAAAGCCAGTGTCGCACAATTCTCTTTAGGGTCCAGCTTCAAAGACCTGAAGCCTTCCCACTAGGCTCCACTCTTAAAGGACCCACCTCCCGATAGTGCCACCCTGGGGACCAAGCTTTTAACACACAGGCC